CCAGTGCCTTTGAAAAGCGATTCAAAGCTGTGGCAGTACAAGCAGCATGTGTAAACTACACCTTAATCCTTCCTCTCCAGCAGCACCTACTCCCCCTTCATTCTCTCCCCCTTCAATTTCCCTTCCTTCACTCCATTTAGTTACCAGTAGCCAAGAAAATACTTCGTACTTCCAGGTATAATGGAACACGTGACAGCACAGGGTCAATCACTAAACACCACCAGTCAGCTGAGGAGAGTTCTTGACCCTGGGCATGCTATAATTGGACAACTTTGAGCTTAAACATGGCAGCTTCCCTTGCTTCTGGTTGCAAGACAGAGGGGTAGCGGAGAATGGGAAAAGGGAATATTACAGAGAGGGGTGATTAAAGTGAATCTGAGGCTTTGCCCTGTGTAGGCAACTGGTTTACTTTCATGTAATCAGTACGTAAATAATCATATCATTGTGTACTAATGCTTTAAAACAAACAAGTTTCGGTGCACAGCTTGTACTTACACAGTATATGAACATAGAGGATGCCATTGTTATGTGCAGGTTTTGCTAGAAAGGACCCTGTGAGAATAAAAGTATCTGATCTGATGCTATTGACTTGAACAATGACAAAGGTAGAAGTTTAGTCTTCACTAGCTGCATGCTTGTTCCAGGCTAATAGCTCACTAGGTAGTAAAACCAGGATTAGAATGCCAATCTTGGAGCTTGTACCTTTTTAAAAATTGATGGTTGAAGCTCACAATACTTCTGACCTCCCAGGTTTTCTTTACTAGCGCTGCACATTGAGCGTGCTTCACTGCTAATCCCCCTCAGGGCAAGGTTGGGGGTCACCTCTGACCTGCCTGAAAATGATAGGACTTTCTATAGAGCTAATTATTTTTATCTGAAAAACAACATAGTTACAGTAAAATCCAGCTCTACTTTTGGTAAAAATAGTTGTATAGTTAGTCTGGCTGAAAAAGACCAAAATCCATCCAGTTCAACCATAAAAAAAAAAGTTATAATCCTACACCCACAGTTGATCCAGAGGAAGGCAAAAAAAAACCCCAGCAAAGCATGATCCAATTTGCTCCTGCAGGGGAAAAAATTCCTTCCTGATCCCCGAGAGGCAATCGGATATTCCCTGGATCAACTTTACCTATAAATGTTAGTATCCAGTAATATTCTGTGCAGGGGCAGACTGACAACTCATAGGGCCCCCGAGCAATAGGGGATCATGGGGCCCTTGTTTCCTTGCCCAAACTCAAAAAAGCCTATGAAAAAGGTACCAGGGGCATCTCATGGGGCCCCCTACTGATCCCGGGCCCTCGGGCAGTGCCTGAGTTTCCAAATGGTCAGTCCACCCCTGATCCTGTGTATCCAAGAAAGAATTCAGGACTTTTTTAAAGCAGTCCACTGAACTGGCCAGAACCAACTCAGAACAATTCCACAGTTCCATATTTTTTTTCTGAATTCTTCAGACCTGCCTGTTGACATTATGGTACCTTCCTCTTCTTCAATAGTGGTGTTCACTCCTGCACAGGGAGGTGCACACATCATTATGTTCAAGAGTACTGTGAGCCCTGGTTGGCATGTGGATGGTCTTCAGGGAGACATGTGCATGATGGCCGGGGCTCACAGGAAGTGGGTTTGGAGGTCATTAAAACCAAGGAGGAGCAACAGTCAGGAGTGGAGAGCTGAGTATTGCAGCCAGAGCTGCTTTTTTTTTTTTTTTTTTTTAATTTTAAACCTCCTGGCCAACATAATTTTTCACATTTCTCTAAAAAAGTGGAGTTGGGCTTAAGGGCCCTTTCACACTGATGTGATTTAGACGTGTTCCCATTGACTTACAATAGAAGGTGCTTTTTTGGTGTGCTTTTGAAAATCTACACTGAAGCTGCAGTGTGAACAGTTACATAGGATTTATGGGGAATAGTTTTCATGCGCTTTTGGAATAGCGCAGCAGTATGAAATGAGCCTTAATTAAATTCTTTGATATACTGATGACTATTAGAGGGAGGGTTTACAAATCTATGAAATATACAAAATACGGAACAACAAGACATTAAAAATAGGAAAGTCTTATGAAAAAATGACCATCTGCAAAATTCTACAATAATAACGCAATACATGTACTCACTAAAGAGGCTGTCCTTTCCCTTTAACTTAGCACAGCACTTTCTGGATCAATTTTTACTGAAGACACTTTTTTTTTCCTTTTTCTTTATTTAGAAGTTTCATTATTTCTGTGAATTTACCATTTGTGCAGTTTCACATATATAGTAATGTGGAAGTTTCACTTCAGTTTCACAAGCATTGCACAATGCAGCTTTTACAGAAGAGCAAATCTGTAGCTTCAAGAGTACAGTCACACCAGCTACTTGAATTGAGGGGATGAAAAGGCTTCTGGGTGATTACATTTGTTTGGCCACTCTTGTATGTATTCACTGACTTTTCACAGCATAAAGAGTGCATGTGATTATAACAAATATTTAACAAGCAGCTTGTTTCTTCCGTATTTACCCTGCTTAGTGCAACCTGAAAATTTCTTCCCAGCAAGTGAGACATTTTAAAGCTAAACTCCAGGCACACTGCTAAATACACAGTTGAATTGCATATGTGGGAGCTGTCTTACCCTACAAAAGATTTGTATCTATCCATCCACACCTGGGATTTACACAGATCTAACACACAACTCAGCTAGCCAGGTGAATGGGCTTTCCTCTGCTGTAGCTAAGCAATACAGCTAGATCATCAACCTGTGATTGGACAGTGAAGGAGCAGCAGCAGACTGAGGAGGTTATCTTTCTTCTCCTGTCAGCATGTTCCTTGTAAGTGTAAATGCAGGACACCCAGATGGCTCAGTGTGCTGCCCCTACCTTTTCCAGTCTGAGTTCTGCTGTGCAGGGGACTACAGGAGGATGAAAACAAGTCGGATATTTATACTTGCTGCATTTAAAACACAATGACATAATAACTGCATCAGTTGGTGTTTTTTACTATCTGCCTGGAATTTAGCTTTAAAAACAGCCTCACATGGAGATAACAAAGGAGAACTTCCATTTTCTACAGTATGACAGGCCTCATTTATCACAGTTTCTTTAGAACGGTCTGTAATTCCCCAAATGAGGAATTAGCTTGCCTACATTGTTTTAGTGCAGAAAATAAAAGGGAGAACTTGCCTGTTTTTTTTTTCTCAAACAACACAGTGCATTCAAACTTTATAAACGTGACTGCGTTTTTAGACTGACATTCCTATCTAAGAGGTTCAGAATGTGAGGATTCTGCAGTCTTAAACAAACCTGACCTCTATTTGAGTTACCTATCGTGTAATAACAGAACAAGGCAGTACCTCTTTTTATTACTTCGAGAAGTAGAACCCTTATCCTGCTACTCATTAGGTCAGCCTTTGGGATATAAAGAGACTGGTGGAGGGTCATCACATCCCCATAGGCCATGGCAAAATATCACATTTCAATTGCTGGTGGTCCTGAGGGCAAAATTTGAAGTCTTTGATTTTGATCACTCTGTAATATATGGAATTAGAGGGAATTTGGCATTTTAATTCATCTTGGAAAACACCTCTAAGGATTACCTAAAATGTGCTGGTGTCCAGTTCCTTAGACCATTTGTGTAATCCACGTTAGGTGAGTAACCTTTAATTTGTATTGAAAAACATAAATAGCAAGTCTATTTAAAACTGATAACACACTTTTTGGGTGAACACACCAGCAGGGTGATTGTCTACCTTAGCATTCTTAGCTGATGCCACACTTTTGAGTTGTTGTAGATGAATTTAATCATCTCCTGGACACTTATATCATTTCAAGATCCCGGCAAAGGAATAGTCTCTTTATTTCCTAGTTTCTTCCTTTTGTTAACTCTTGGTGAGCTCATTTTTTATCTCCATATGGTGACTCCAGCATAAGTTGCAATCCCACATGGCTCATTTGATGGCCTATGCAAGTCCTTACGGTGAAATGGAGCCACAAGTTCACAAGCAGTTTCTTTCCACCGGAGTGCCTGAATGTTATAAGTAGCCAGAAGGTGACTGAACTTTATGGTATCCATCCAAAGTTTCTTTATCAGTTGGGAATAAACCTATCTTTACAAAACTCTTGAAGCTCTTTTCCAGTAACAAATCAATTTTGTCAAGAGGACCTGCAATATGTACCATAGCTCTTCTTTTTTATGAAAAGCAGCTGTACTGATAGAGGGATACAATAGCACTGGCCAGCAATGCAGGTATATCCCTTCAGTAGCTAGGCTACTAGCTATTCTACCCCTGAGTTTATCTTTTTACTAACTAGGACTCTTCCATTAAAAAAGGAGCAAACCAATGGAGGCTTTGCCCGTAGCAACCAATCAGGTTCTGTTTTGATAGTGCAGGAGTGGATTCTACAGGCAACATATGTTCCTTTTTGTTTTTCATAAAAGAGCCAACTGCACACAATAAACTGGTGCCATTTTTGCCATTGCACAAAAAATACTGTATATTCTATGTCAGCTTGTCAATCACCAAACCTAGTCTGTAATCCTTCAACAAAGGCAGCACACAAAAAGTGCCTTTAGGGGCAATGGGGTAATGGAGACATTTTGGCAACTTTCAAACCATGAGAAGAAAGTTGGTCGGAGGTATTGAATCTTTCATAAATAACATCCTAATGAAAATAAAATTCAAGGAGATCTTAGAAGGCTTAAACTCAAGCCTCAAATGAATTCTCTAGAGCAGATTTGTATCATTTTGGATCATAAATCCAACCTAAAAATGAAATGGATCCAGTACAGATGAAACAACAGTGTGTTTGAATGAAGGTCAGTAAAAGCTGGTTGAAGGTCTGAGAAGGTATCTGCAAAAGTTGTGCATTCCTGATATACCTCCTTATAACTTAGTCATGTAACAATGTTCTTGTGTAAAAAAAACACAGTGATACCCAAGGATTCAAAAAAACAAAAATAGTTATTTGACCTTTTTTCTTTTTTTGGTATTATTACATGTTTATTAGCAGCTATTATCTACTTTCTCAGATTCACCGACGCTTTGGGGGTATCACAACTACTGCCGGTTTGTTTTTTGGCCTCCACATAAGGACCTGTGCATCATTGGCATTCGGTTTCACAAGGGCGCTAGGAGGGATGGGTTCATTTTTGGTGAGCACTTGTGGTTGCTCCTGGCTAAAGGGTTCCTGCAGTTTGGCGCGCTGTCCCAATGGTAATGTGGGTTTGACCTCAATCTCCAGTATCATCCTCCACTTGATGGTATGTAGGACAACAAGTTCACCACTGGCAATGTTGATGGCCACCAACCAAGTAGTAAAACTTTGGTCCCGCCGGATGCCAGTCAACATAGGCACGTTGGAATCGCTAACAGGCACTGCCCACGTAACACTGGGGTAGAAATTATCATTCATACTGACGGTAAACTTGGTGTCTCTTTTGGTGGGGCCAGTAACAGTGCAGGTCTCAGTAGTGTTGCCATACCAGGGGTAGTTGACTCCATCTGAATCACTAATTGCTGGGATCTTACCATTCTCCAGATCTGGCAGTTCCCAGCTAGACCTGAGAAAAAGAGACCATTGTTAGTGAAAGACTTTAATAGCTGTATTAACGACAAAGTAGAGGTTTCATAAACATATTTAAACTTCAGATCGCCATTGTTCACTTCACTGACTCAATACTACCGAAAAGAGTGAAACATCAGCCCAAACTTCTTAAATTTGTTTGAATAGGGTGTGGAAAGGTTAGAAACTCTGCAGAGTTTATAATGCTGTATGTGTGCTTTGCCCCAGGAAAATCCAGCCTCCCTTCAAGTAGCAGTTTTAGGAACTTGACAGGGGAACAGTCAGTAGTAAAAATTTAGCAGAGGTTTGACATAGAATTCCAGGTTTACTTTGACTTTAATTTGTTTGAGCCAAGCCGGCCAACTACTGATGTCGCTGTGCTGTACTATACTGTAGCAGCATTGGCTACATACGGTAAGCTACACTGTGTTCTGGCAGCAGTATATTTGACTTCCCATCTGTTGCCGGAACTAAATTGAGAGCAGACTCCCACATGTGCAGTGTGGATTGAAGCTCAGGTTTCACAGCTAATTGATTCAGTATTTGTTCACCCGTTCATATCAGGTTTACATCAGGTTCAGGACAGGATTAGCTCTCAGGATTATCCTCCTCATACATATGCAGTTTAGAAATGGTTCCCATAGAAGTCAATAGCCTGTAGTCTGCACCTGAACCAGACCACACTGCTCAGAAATCGTGCATTACTCTTTTTCAAACCGCACTGAATCCGCACTGCCAGTGCTCCACACATGTGTGAACAGACACCATAAGAAGCAATAATTTTGCACGTAGTGCAAATTGGATGCGGTTCAAACCACTTCCAATCCGCATAAATGGGAATCTGCACTGAGTCAACCTGAATGCCCTGTATTTTTATCAATTAATACAAAACTTTCTGTGTTTGGCCAAGGCAGGGAGGCAGACACATGACGTTATGATTTTCATCTTGGCCACTTAGAGGAAGCCTTGCATTCATTGATAAAAATACAAGGCTTCTCCTGAATAATAGAGAAGCATTCAGGCTGACTCAATTTAGTTTCAGCATCAGATGGAAAGTTGTCTGTACTGCTGTGGGACACAGTTCCCCATACTATATGTAGCTGATGCTAATTCAGCATAGTAGCGCAACCAATGACAGATCGCGCCGGAAAGTGACCCGATCCTGATGTCCTCACAGGGTAATAGTGAACCTGCTTGCCAGTCATCATACAATATGCTGGGTGGGAAGGAGTTAAATATGCACTTTAATTATAGAAGGAAGTATGATTTTTGCAGAACTAGGATATATAAGGAGTGTGCTATGTACAGGGTGCAGAGCTATGGAGTGTGCTATGTACAGGGTGCAGAGCTATGGAGTGTGCTATGTACAGGGTGCAGAGCTATGGAGTGTGCTATGTACAGGGTGCAGAGCTATGGAGTGGCTGCAGAGCTATGGAGTGTGCTATGTACAGGGTGCAGAGCTATGGAGTGTGCTATGTACAGGGTGCAGAGCTATGGAGTGTGCAATGTACAGGGTGCAGAGTTATGGAGTGTGCTATGTACAGGGTGCAGAGTAAGGAAAAAAAAAAAAAAACCCTGTGTTATTAGGGCATGCCCAGGTACACCCCATGTGCACACCTATGTTTGGTAGGCAGTGTCACCCGCTGAACGCAAACCATTCACCTGAATGGTTGACATTTGTCCAAAAGCTGAAATTTGCCACCAATCAATGCCTATATGGGCTTTACCGCCTCATGCCTGTACACATCAAGCAGCAAAAATGAAAAAGCATGTGGCCAAATGCAACCCATGCAAGTCTGTGGGGCCATGCTGCAACCACCCTGTAAATCATGCTGTAGTGTGGAATTTATGGGGTTAAATTGGGCAGTGAGGAAGCGATATAATGCCTCTTCATCACTTGTCAAATGCCCTCTGAAAAGCAATCCAAACAAGCCATAAGATGCCAGTCTTCTTAGCAAGCTAGCAGACAATACATGCTGCTTGTGTTGCGGTTCTTTCAAATAGGCAGTAATGCTTATGGCCCCCTGATCACTTTTCAGAGGGCAGTAAAACAGCATCTGGCAGGCATCCAGGGGGAGCTACTGACATCTCCTAATGCCTTTTTTATTTTTACATTGAGGAACTATGTCACAACTGTGAGCCAAGTGTTTGGCTCGTGGTTGCAACGTGGCTCCGTTGATCTCTATAGGCAAGTAGTGCCGCCTGTTAAGCTGTTAAAAATACCACAGCAGCCAAGCAATCTCTGTAAGGCTCTAATCTCAGAATACAGGTGGGCGGCCAGGGGGGTAATAAGACCATGGCTCAGCTGCCTGTTTTTTACCCCCTTCCCATCCAGAGGTAGTTTGTTTGTTCATGTTTCAACTGGCATGATTTCCTCTCCATTCCAAATATAAAAGTTTCACAAGGACGTGTTTCACAATGATAGACATCCTGTCCTGTCTAAGACAGATTAGGGGATGAGACTCTACAGATTCCCTTTTCTCTTTATCCCCCCCCCCCTCTCCCATTTTAACTGGTCTTCCTGTGTCCTGCTGTGTACGGGAGGCTTTCGGATATGAGCAGCACTTCCTGTTGTAGGGGGAAAGATTTGAAGACCGCTATAATATGAGCCCTGAAAGGGGGGTGCAGCAGCTGCAGATGTAAATCGGATCATCAATGTATTGCTGAATGGAGAGAGTAAACCAAAGCAGTTATGTCATCCAGCAGCGGATAAGCCGGAAGGATGTGCTTTGTTGTTCTCTTCCTGCACTTTGCACTTAAGTCAGAAAAATAGAAATCTTTAGGGCTCCTTTTTATACTTGCAGTGTGTGTGTTTGACAGGCAGTGAGGTGGTATGTCACCTTCTATTTTAACCCCTAAGAAAAACTGCACCACTGTGCCGCAAACTCAGACCATGGTTGCAGTATGGTCTTAGGTGAATGGGTCATCCTCAGGGGGCCTTATCACCCCGCAGATGGGACAGGGAGTATCATTTTTGCCTGCTTTGCTTTACGACCCTGGTACATTTACACTCCCGTTCACTACCTGTGCAGCACGGATCAGAACATAGAAGGACTGTGTTACAATTCATGCATTGATCTCACATGGATGTACAGTCAGATTGGAGGTTGCCTGTATGGAAAACCCACACATTCTGTTACATAGTTAGTCTGGCTGAAAAAAGACAAAAGTTCATCCAGTTAAACCAAAAAAGAAAAAAAGGTTATAATCCTATACCCACAATTGATCCAGAGGAAGGTAAAAAAAAACCCCAGCAAACCATGATCCAATTTGCTCCTGCAGGGTAAAAAAAACTCCTTCCTGATCCCCCGAGAGGCAATTGGATATTGCCTGGATCAACTATACATATAAATGTTAAATCCAGTTATATTCTGTGTTTCTAGGAAAGAATCCAGGCCTTTTTTAAAGCAATCCACTGAGCTGGCCAGAACCAACTCTTGAGGGAGTCTATTCCACATTTTCACAGCTCTCACTGTGAAGAAACCTTTCCATGTTTGGAGATTACATTTCTTTTCCTCCAGATGTAAAGAGTGCCCCCTTGTCCTCTGTGATGACCTCAGGGTGAATAACTCTACACCGAGTTCACTATATGAACCATTGATGTATTTGGAGATGGCCCTTGCATGGGTGTACACCTGTCTGAATGAAACCTAAAAGCTACATAAAGCAAAGACACATATGTGCCTCTGTATTTTTAGGCTTGTCTTTGTATCTGAAAGCATAAATATGTGGATTTTAGAAATATACACTGACTGGCCACTTTATTAGCTACACCTGTTCAATTGATTGGTAACACAAATTGCTAATGAGCCAATCACATGGCAGCAACTCAATGCATTTAGGCATCTAGATGTGGTGAAGACTACTTGCTGAAGTTCAAACTGAGTATCAGGATAGGGAAGAAAGGGAAGGAATTTAAGTGCCATGGTTGTTGCTGCCAGATGGGCTGGTCTGCGTACTTAAAAAAAACTGCTGATCTACTGTGATTTTCATGCACAACCATCTCTAGGGTTTACAGAGAATGGTCTGAAAAAGAGAAAATGTCCAGTGAGCGGCAGTTGTATGGACGAAAATGCCTTATTGATGTCAGAGGAGAATGGGCAGACTGGTTCGAAATGACAGGCAACAGTAATTCATGTCAATATGGACCAAAATATCTGAGGAATGTTTCCAACACCTTGTTGAATCTATGCCATAAATAATTAAGGCAGTTCTGAAGGCCAAAGGGGGTCAAACCCAGTACTAGCAAGGTGTACCTAATAAAGTGGCCAATGAGTGTATAACCCCCGATGAAGGAACCCAAGGGCTCATGTATGTTTTATGGCCCCCAGCAATGCTGAACACCACCGGATTAATATTACCTAAATAATGTAAGCTTCATGAAAGCCACTGTAGATATTGTGTAGTGTTACCAGTCTACGGAGTGTGCAGTATTACCAGTCATTATACACAGCTCTCCCAACTGCCACTGCACAAACCAGTCTGCCACTGAAAGGCCACACATACAGTCATTGCTACAGTTGTTCTCCATCTCCTCGGCTGCCAGTAGGGAGAGGGGGAGAGAGAGAACACAGGACACTTGTAAGATTGTACTGTAGCCACTGTGAGTTGGAGGAGAGCCCACCCACCACCCCAGGGTGCAGTGGACACTGTATATGGCTGCTGTGCAGCCTGGGAGGAAAAAGGACTGCAGGGAACCACCTGGGACTATGGGAAATGTAGTCCCCAGGAAACTTCTTCCTATAAAACCAAGGATGGAACAGTGTTACGAGTCCCAAGAGACTAGAGTGCTGCAACAGAAGACGGGGAAGAGAAGAAAGCCTGGGGCTTGGGATAGTCTTATGGGGAACTGAGAAGTGATCACAGCAGAGAGAGCCTTGGACAGCTGACTGCCTTAGTGTTTGCCGTGGATACTGGAGAGCATCAGACTGGGCTTCCACACTAGCATGGAGGTCAACACTGACAGAAATTGTCACTGGTTCCATGAGAGATTGCCAT